CCCCAAAACCCCAAAACCCCAAAACCCCAAAACCCCAGAGTATTGAGATATTATTGAAAACATTACTCTTGATCAATATCAGGGTCTTTAAATTCTTCTTCTCTTTCCATTCTAGTTTTAGTAAGTGTTGAGGACTTGTCATCTTCTGAGAGATTTCCATCATCCTATACTTGAAAAGGAGAAATTACTGTTTCAGGATACAATACATTAACAAATTTTTGGCGTAGCTTGATACAGTTATTAAGAATCCTCTTTCTCGAAGTAGGAGGAGTAGGTCCCTTTCTTCTGATAATAGGGACTAAAATCCTGTTATTTCAACATCTTTTTAACTATAGAGACTTCGTCTACAGTGCTTTTAGCCTTTAGAATTCTATTGAGATGCTGGATGACTTCTTCATAAGTAATATTTTCTTTTCCTTCAAGATCCTTGATTAGGGCATCTGCTTTGTCAATTATTAAATAGTTCGCAATTAGGACGTAATCAATAGCTGTGAATATTCTCAACTCTTTTAGAATTTCGTTTGAGGGAAGTCCTATTTTTATGAGTTAGAATGAGCAGGATAGAATCTTCGAGAAAGTAAAACTTTAATCAGCATTTCTAAAATCTGAGGATTAATCAAACTAGCTATTCAGTTCCTACCTTTTCCTTCTTCTTCATTTTGGGAATCATGCTTCTTCTGGGATAGCTTCTCCACAAACTTCAAAATCCGGGGTTTCTTTAAAACTATATAAAAATATGGTCAGTTTTAAAGAAGGTCTTATGAAAAATGTGGGAGAAATATTAACCCGAAGACATCCTTAGTCTTAGATATTTTAGTGGATCAATAGTAGTCAAGATCTACCAATATGTGGCTTACATTCGTCCTGTAGGTCCTTTTCTAATTCTTTTATTTTATTATCAAGAATCTCATTCTTTGGGCTGATGTCAGCAAGGTAAAGAAACTGTCCAATTGTATATAATTTCTTAAATATAAGCTTCCTATCTTCATAGTACTTAATATTGTCAGTAATCTCTATACATTCCTTATGAACGATAAATTACCTGTGCTTTTCATCATTTGGAAGATTTTATTAATTTCTATAATTTATAGAAGACTTGGGGTTTTGGGGTTTTGGGGTTTTGGGGTTTTGGGG